TACTCTGGAGAAATAATGATAATAGAAAGGGGAAAGTTTGGCAAAGGTAAAAGAGCTACACTTTTGTGAAGGAAAATATGAAAACTATAAGATGCATAATATATAGCCATAGTGTCTTATTAGTTTGTTGCCTTATTTATGCACTTCTCAATCTGGAACATATTTATCTTCACAAAAGCTTTTTGATAGAGGGAAATTCCATTGTATTCATAGACTAAGAGGCAGAATTAAATTACCAGCCAACAATTATAGGATACAGTCTCTATCATAAGATAATTGCTCTGAATTAACATGTCTATGTCAGGACACTCTGGGTGTTGTTGTCTCACCTGGACCAGTGCCCTGCACTTTCTTTTACTAGTGGAACTGGCCCACACTATCATTGGTGATGGACTGATTTTGTACCCTGGACACAAAACTTTAGGAACAGAAACACATGGTTTCCCAGATAGAAATTCAATCTGTTTGGCAGAAAACACAGCCACTTTTGCAGTCTCTGCCTGAATCTGGCAGTGCTGTGTCATGCAATCCAGTGCTACCTGTGCTGGGGGCCAATGGCTCAGCACTTGGCTCTGCTCTTGTGAAATGAAGGTGATCACAGTTCTGTGATAATAACAATAAATTGCTTTATATTTGCACTAGCACATCACTTTGGTATTTGCCTCGATTTCCAGGGCTGGTATCAGGAGAGCAGACATTAATTTTGAACAATGGCATTTGCAGACATGATGGATCCATTTGGTGATGGAATTAATGGGAATATGATTACTTTTGCTGAGCTAATAGGACCTGTCTTTTCTTTTCCTCACTACAAACTGTTTCACTGTCACTTTCCCAGTGTGTCTACATTACCAAAACTTGTCTCGTTATATTAACTGGAGCCATTAAAATATTTCTGCCTGGTATATTTCTGTCTATTTAATAATCACTGAAGGATAAAATGTTTAAAGTTCAGTTATTTGGGGTTTTTTTCTTAGAAGTTTACATGCTTCTGGTTTTATGATTTATGCCTTTTCCATTTCCTATGCACATTTAAAAAAAAAATCATTAGAAAGATTGGCAGTTCCCTGAACTCCTTTAGACATTAGTTCATAGCTTCTTTTCATCTTCTTTCTACTCTTTGTTGGTGTTACTTTTTCTTCCTTTTAAGATACACAACAGAAATATTTTTCTTTGGACAAGTATTTAAAAAGAACTATTTAATATATGTTATTTATAAACTGAATATGAAGTGATTAATGATTTCATGATGAGGAAATAATGAGAAATACTTACTAAGCTGTAGCATTCAGCAATGAATTCTGTAGTTGCAAAGTTCCTAGGAACAGCATGCTCACCATAAAAAAAAAAAAAAAAAAGAAAAAAAAAAAAGAAAAAAAAGAAAAGCCTGGGGCTCTTCCAAAAGAAAATCATTGGTTTTGACCTTTCTTGGCTTGATAGTGACTGACAAACCTGATGCCTTTAGTATCATATGATTTAGCTCATGTTAGAGATGCCTAAATAAATTCAGTTTTGCTTAGTTATGCTTGTCTAGCCATGTTTCAGAATGTTCAGCTTTCAGTAAAAAGAATAATCACTTCATATATATATATATGAGCACTTCTGTAGTTATAATATTTTTTCTTTTTCTGCTGTGGCTTTGATGGCAATAAGTTTGCAATAAATCTTAGACTTGCAGCTGATGCAGGTCCAAATGTGTTTTACTGTTAAGGCAGAAAAGATAGAAAAAGTCTCCTTTGGAGAAATTTGAATTTTATTCAGCCTATACACTTCCAGTCCAAGACAAAAAAAATGCAATATAGGCTGCTGTTAAAGCTCTGCTTTAGACTGCTAAGAATCACTATAAACTGAAAGAAGCACCCAATATCTTTTTCTTCATGTGCTGACTGAAAAGCAAAGCAGACTTCCCAGATTTTCTTCCATTTGACTTTAATGCTGAGCTTTCCTATTGAAATGGGAAAACTGAATTCAGCTTCAGAAAACAGAGAAGCAGCCAAGATATATTTATATCTTGAATAATTCTGAATGAATTTATTGAAAAACTTCCACTCTTGAAACTTATTGGAAGAGCTCTGTAACATGGAATATAGATTTGGCAGGAAAAAGAAAGGGATCATGAGAGCGACAAATCTGTTTGTCATCTGCCTAGGAATACTTATTAATTTAAATAATATAATCAGGGAGTGCAGTTATAGAGATATGGAACAATGCAGGGCCAAGGATAAAGTCCTGTGGGGCATCAGCTGCAAGTGAAAAAGGACTCGATTAAGGATGGCTGTATTAAATAACAAGTGAATGGTCTAACAAAAACAATGTTTGCCAGCAACACATGTTGCCTTTAGTGACGCATCCAGAGTACAATGAATCAGCAGGAGTGATTCTGAGCATTCAAAATAGAAGACTGACAGCATTTCTTTAGATCAAAATGATGAGCATGTGCACAATTATCATTTCAGGTGATTAACCAGAGGACAGCAGTTAGGGGGTGTCTCCAGTAAACAGTCATAAATCCACTGTGGTAAGGAGAAAAGCAAGTTCTAACTTTTGGAGATGTTTGCAATACAAGAAGCCCTCTGGGAATAAGTTAATTGAGCAGATCCTTGGCAGACATCATAAGGAAAAAAGGGCATTTAAAGACACCTGGAACTGCTGCAAGTGAAGCCTGGAAAAGTGAGGAAAGGAATCTTACCAGAAGAGTAGTTCTACAGGTTTTTATTTTGGTGAGCCCATAGAAAATGAGCTAGATATTTCATCTCTTGAGCTATGATATGAAATTGATGGTTTCAAATTTATTTTAAAATTCTTTGATTAATTTTAGTGTTAGGAAGATGTGGGAGAGGTAGTTCTAGTAATCCCAGGGTTAAAATCCAGCAAACCATTGTTCTGCATCTTTTGTTTACCATTCAGCAGGAGTCACCTAGTCCTGTTTTCCCTACTTCATTTACTTTGCATTAGTGTTTATTAAAATTACCTCAATCATAGGGTGTTTTTTAAAGCCTTTTAAAGATTTTTAATGGTCTGATTCCTCGTCATCTGATATCACTTAATGAACAGCACAACTTTTCAACTTATTTTTGTTCAAACATACAAGGGTCATATTCTTCATCTGGTCTTTTCAATCAAATTATTTGCCTAATTTTATTTGCAATCTGTGTAGTCATATGAGCCTGAGCTGGAAGCAACCAATTAGGTCACACTGTCCCTCCTCTTGCCAACATGGAATATAATCCCCCAGACAGGGACACATGCTTGATTTTAGCCAAAAGCTCAGGAGAAACTCCTGATCTTCACCCACTGAAATTAACCTCTCATCTGTTATTAATCTATTTTCAGTAAATGATTACCAGAACATCTGCTCATGCCCAGTAAATTTTTACTTCCTTCTATTAAAGCTGACTTCCCCAGTGGATTGATGGAAGAGAGATTCTGCAGTTCATTCTGCTCTATAAAATAGCATTGGTCCACTGAAGAAATGTTAGCTGAAGGCGAGGGGGTGATTTTTGTCACTCATGGTGCACCTATAGGTGAAATAAGAGCAAAGTGATTGCAACAATAGTAGGATTTCCATCTAACTTTTTTGTTTTTTAATCAGGAAGCATAAGGACACATTCAGCAAATGCATGTTTGGGGTTTACATAAAGATAGAAGCAACCACACAAGGATCATTAATCTTAGCATTAGTCAAGCCTTTGAATCACAGGATCACTGAGGTTGGAAAATACCTCCCAAGATCTTTGAGTCCAACCTTTGACCAGTAACCACTTCGTCATCCAGCCCAGAGCACTGGATGCCACATTTAGTCATTCCTTGGACACCTCCAGGGATAGGGATTCAGCACCTCCCTGGGCAGCCCCTTCCAATGCCTGACCACAATTTCAGTGAAGAAATTCCTCCTGAAAGTCTTCTTGTGTCCACTTCCATGTCCTTCCCTAAAGGATATGGTCTGACAGTCTGTGTTCAGGAGGATGACAGCAGAGGAGAGTTTTCAGGAGGACTTTGAAATCTGAGAAGGCAGGAGTTATTTGGATTTTTGTCAAGAAAATTCCCTCAAAGAGGAGATGCAGTATGGGAGATAGTGTGAGAGCTTGTCATTGCCTTGATTTCTCTGATATTCCCTTTCTAATCTTCCTATCAACTTTTCTTCCCTACATTTCCACAATAAGCATTTATCCCTGTCATCTACTGCTACAATTTATTTGTGTGCCTTGAGGAAAACACTGTCTGGACCTTCTTTCATTTAATTTTTGTGTTTTTCTCAGGGGTGCTGCTTTCTGCTCTCAGGGTGCCTTTCTAGGTACCTCTTTCAGGTAGCACCGATGTGCTTCAGGACACCTTTTGCACAGCTTGCAAAAAACTGGCTGTGCCAAAGCTCTTTTGGGCGTTTTATGCTTCTGACAAGCATAACCAACCTTTTACATACACATGAGGCTCATATCTCTATTAAGAAGTTAAATTTTTATGTTTTCTTTAGGTTTGCTACTCCAGCTGCAGATATTTAGGGAAACAATGTTGGGCCTGATTCCCTGTGAGGAACCATTAATCTGATGAAGCATCTGGAAAATAGTTGGGCAAAACTGAAAATGAGAGCTTAAGCAAAACCCACACAGATCATGAGTATTGCTTTTGATCTTGTTGGTTCAGATGGACACAAAAGCCCACTAAAGAAATCAGATCCATTCTAAAGTATCAATATACAAAAAAAGCTGTATCTTGGGGGTTTCTCATTCACATAATTCCAAAATCTAGACCTGTAGTTTTCTGTCATCCTGCTGCACACACAGCTACACTGCAGGGAGTAGATTAATGGGTTTTAGAGCATAAAAGATTCAGCTTTTAAGGAAAATGTCACTTTGCAGCCCAGCTGTAGCACAAGTTGGTTATTCCCTGTGATTATTGCCTACTGTTGGACAATTTAATTGGAGTTGACAACTTGAGATATTATCACTACATTTTTTTCAAGAATATTTAAATACATTGTTTTCCCTTTTTTTATGTTTCAGAGCAAGAGCCAAGGACTGAGTTTTGTCCGTATACATGCACCTTGGCAAGTCCTCAGTCGAGAAGCAGAACTTCTAAAGATAAAAATGCCCACTAAAAAGGTAAATATCTCCCACTTTCTATCAACAAGTTTTATGATTGAAGGAGCAGGGATCAGAATAATCATGAAATGTATAGAAGCCCGTGGAGTTACTTTGTTTGAAAAATCAGAGAAAATGAACTGTCAGGCTTATTTTTCACATTTCCAAGTCTTTTAAGATGATTTACTGTTCAGAGCTATATTTATGATGGGCTTTCCAAAGGGGTTTTTAAAGGCCACAGAGGCAGCTGGCTGATGGACTGCCTTCAGGAGGGTGATGACAGAGGTGAGTGTTAAAGAGGGCTTTGAAAGCTGAGAAGGCAGGAGCTGTCTGGATTTTTGTCAAGAAGACTTGTCAAGAACTGGGGTAGTATGGAAGATAGTATGAAAGTGGTCACTGTCCTAAGATTCTCCAAAGAGAGAGAGGCTCTCCCCAGAAAATCTGCTTTGGTGGTATCAGTGACTCAGTGAATTCAGACTTGCCTGTTTTCACTAAAACTTCAGCTCACTCTCTTTTCTGTCTGTCTCCAGTAGAGTTGCTGGCAAACCTTGTAAATTCGGAGTAGCAAATCCCATAATCTGTGTTCCTGAAATTATTTAGTCCATTGGTTAACAACTCCACTGGAGTCAGGGAAACTGCCTTGTGCTTTTAGTTAGTGATACTCATCAACTGTACTAAAGAACACTTACTTATTTCTTTGCATTGTCATTATAAATAAAGGAAAAAAAAGTTTTCGTTTTCTCCCACTGTGTTGTTTGATCTTTGTTTGTTTGACCTTTTTCATCTTGTTTTCACCCATTAAAAACTTCATTGTGGTTCATGTTTCATGTTGTTACAACCTCTCATTATCAGAAGACTGGCCAAATAAATCTTTTGTACTCTTAATGTGTTTGCATTCCAAGGGGAAAAAAAAACAAAAGAAAAGGATATCTTCAATCAATCTTTGAAAATGAGTAGGTTTCCGACAGCTACAGTACCCCTAAAAACTTTCTACATATTCAACTCCTCCCTTTGAATTCTTCCAAAATTAATTCCTTTTTAGTGCCTGCTTATTTCTCCCTCCTTCTGCCCTCATGGGAATTTTCCTCTCCAAGTTTTTTGCAGATGCACCAAAGTAAATTTTACACTATTTCAATTGGTGGATATTGTCATCATTTTGGCCTGGGTTAAGGTCTGTCCAGGAGCTGATAATCTCTGATGGCACCCTCCTCATTCACAACATTTCTGTATCCCCTTCTCTCCTTTGACTGGGACAAAAAATCCTCTGTTATCCTCAAAAATAAAAAAATACACTGGTATCTCTAGCTGTAGAAATGGCAGCACTGCGAGAAACAAGCTTGACAGGGAAGCTCTATTCATGTCCTAGGGTTTGGGTGTTTTTTTGAAATTAAAAACAGTCAAAAGAGGAATTTCCTTTGAAGGAAAAAAAATCCACTTTGAAAAAACTGAAATCTTGTATTTTGGGGATTTGGCAAAATAAAATAAAAAAAATCAGCCAGTAACCACTAAAAGGAAAGTTCTGGTTTTGTTCAAAGATACAAGATATTGCTCTCAAGGCACACTAGGTATTTTCTGTGATGCTATTTTTATTTATTCAAAGATCTTATTAAACCATTAAAATAAAAAAAAAAAGGGCATTTTCAGGGAAAAGTATTTATCCACCTCTAAACACAAACTGGTTACAAATATTTTTTTCCAAATGTTCAGTTTTAAATCATCTTTCAGAATGTAAAAAATGCTAGGAAAAGGTACTCTCTGAGCCCCTTTAACTATATATAAACTTCTGGATATGATAATAGAGCTTTTTTGGTGAGTGAGGCTGTGCCAGGCTCAAACATGAGTACAGGAAACAAACAGGAACAACTGTGAGGGTTGCTTTGTGGCCTGAGTTTTGACGTCTCTGGCTTTAGTGAGTCTTGGGGGAATGGATCCTGTGACTGGAGTGCTGGGATAGGAAAATAAAGGCTTCTCAGGAGGGGGATAGGCAGAGATGGAGAAGTGAAGGAGTTATCCTGTATGGAAAGGAAAAGCTGCAGTTAAGGGATTATAAGGTTGACAGCTTCTGGGTGAGGGTTACGGGGATGGAAAACAAGGCAGATGTCACTGGGTGTTGTATAGGACTGAGGAATTATTCTGTAGGCAACCAGGAGAAATTTCTTTTTCTTATGGTTGATGTCCACTTCCCAAACATTAATTGGGAATACAGCACTGCTGTGACAAGGAAGTCTGAGAAATTCCTGACGAGTGTTTAACATAATACTTCGCCACAAAATGAGCCAGCTAGGAAAGATGCCCTCCCGGACTGAGTACTTGTGGGAGGATATGTGGGACACATGGTCGTAGAAGGCTGCCTTAGCTACAGCAACCTCAAAATGGTTGAGTTTAAAATATTCAGTCTAAAGAGAAAAAAAAGGTCAGCAGACTTGTTGCTCTGCATTTCAAGAGAGTAAACTTAAAATCACTCAGGGAGCTACTTAGCACTGGTCCCTGGGAATCTGTTTTTGAGTGCTCCATGAGTGCTTGGTTGAACAGGGAATTCCTCATGGAGATTGAGAAGAAGAAGAAATTTTCCATCTCTAGCAACAAAGCCAGGCCTCACAGGAAGTTTACAATGCTGTGGTTCACATGTCCAAGGAGAAAATACAAAAAGCCAAAACTCATCTAGAGTTGAAACTGGCCAGTGTTGTGCCACACAACTAAAGGACTTTTTAAGTATGTTAATAACAAGAGAAGGTGTGATGAAAACATTGGACCAATACTTGTTGGAAATAGTCACCTGACAAACAGGGATGATGGAAAAATGGAGGCCTTCAATGCTTTTTTTGCCTCAGTCTTTAATATTAATAATCTTGCACTACCTGGTCCTGAGGCAGAGGACTCCAGCTGTGGGAACAGTTTGTGGCTTTCCGTTTGAGGCCACTGAATTTTTAAGGGACCATCAGTATCCACTGGATGTTCAGAAGTCCATGGGGCCTTGTGAATTGATCCCAGAGTACTGCAAGAATTAGCAGGATCCTTTTCAATCTACTTCCAAAGGACTTGGTACTCATTTACTGGGAGCCACTTGGTATTATTACAATTTACAAGAGCAAAGAGCCAGGAAATGACATTGCTAATATTCCAACCTCAGGTCTTGGAATAATTATGGAGAAAGTCATACCATCTGCAAATGAAAGGCATTTGAAGGACGAAGCATTGCTCAGGCACAGACCATAAGGTTTCACAAAGGCAAAGTCCTGGCTAACTAATTGCATCTTTCTACTATAACATTCCCTGCCTAGTGGATGAGAGGAAGGCAGTAGATGTAACTTTTTTTTCCCTGGATTTTAGTAAAGTTTTTAATATTATCCCTCAGAACATCCTTCTGGACAGGTGATTTAACTGTAAAATGAATAGGTAACCCCGAGCGTGTGGGTCAGGGCGGGAACTCACTGCTGAGGGGATGAGTGGTGCCTATGGCCGTACCACCCTGAGAACACCTGAACCCGTCTGATCTCGGAAGCTAAGCAGGGTCAGACCTGGTTAGTACTTAGATGGGAAACTGCCTAGGAATACCGGGTGCTATAGGCTTCTCTTGCTGCGTGCCAGCGATGGGACGGGACGTCCCTTGTTTTGCCAGGGCAGCTGTGGCGAGGGGCAGGAGGGCCCGGGCAAGTGTGGCTTATGTGCCTTTTGTGCCTCCTGTGGCTTTTGTGCCTTTTATGCCTTATTTGGCGTCGTGTCGGCAGTAGGTTCCGGAGTGGCCGTGGCTGGCCCTGGTTCCTGTGCAGTGGCTGTGAGGGTGTAGTTGAGGGCGGGAAGGCGATGGTGTGCGCTTGAGAGCGCTGCTGAGGGGATGAGGGGCACCTACGGCCCTACCACCCTGAGAATGCCTGAACCCGTCTGATCTCGGAAGCTAGGCATGGTCAGGCTCAGTTAGTAGTTGGATGGGAGACCATCTGGGAATACCGGGTGCTGTGGACATCTTTTGCTGTGTTCCGGCGACGGGACGGGAGGTCCCTTGTTTTGCCTGCACAGCCTTGGCGAGGGGGTGGAGGGCGTGGGCACGTGTGGTTGTGTGCCTTGCTTCGTGTGGCTTTTGTGCCTGTGTGCCTTGTGTGGCCTTAAATCCGGCCAGAGGTTCCAGTGTTGTTGCCACGGCCAGTCCTGGTGCCCGTGTGGTGTGTCCAGGCAAAACAAGGGACCTCCCGTATGGTATGGCCGTGGGTGCCCCTCGCCCCCTCAGCAGCGCTCTCGAGTGCACAGCATCGCATTCCCGCCCTCACCTCCACCCTCACGGCCACTCCGGAACCTACCGCCGGACACGACGCCAAATAAGGCATAAAAGGCACAAAAGCCTTGGGACCTCTGGATGAAGAAGTGGTTCTGGTCTTTATTTCTGTATTAACAATTCTGCACTGAGTTGTGTGTTTTTTTTTCTGGAAGCAGCTGTGAGGGACAAGAACTTTTTGAACTGCAACCCATATGGAATTCAGGTTATATGGGAATATGTCTTCAGAGAAGACACTTATTTTAATTACAGGTTTAAACATATGTGTACAGCAAATCCTTTCTTCATTTTAGTGTAATGTTGGAAGGGACATGCTGATGTACAGTTTTGTTTCCTCAGATGTATGAAATCACAGAAGAAAAGGGAATACTCAAAATGTTAAATGAAATTTGGTGCAAACTGACTGAACCTCTGCAACCCCAGGTGCCACGACAAGAAAATACCAAGATGAAAACCTTATCCTACCCATTTTCCAGAGAGAAAATATATTTGTGAGTACTTTAAAATTTGATGGACAATGAAGAAAGCTGGAACGTATTGTTTTAGTGCTGCCATTTCTTTTTCCCACATTTCAGTCAAAATTCAGAAATTTATCAATCATATCTGGAAATCCTGAGGAAACATCCAAAATTGTCAGATTTTCAGTGGATTAACAGAAATCTAAGTGGCAGAGACTTTCCTGCCAGTGTTCTACTTCTGCAGGCTAAGGCACTGGAAGCCGTGCATCAAATAAAATTTCCATATGTTTAGCTTGAAAAGTAGAAATCCTCCCACCAAATTCCTGATTATTTGGTTAAGGATATTACTGCCTGCTTTGAAAAAACCAAGAGCTACTAGAAATACAGTGGTATTTTTCATCTTGATAGATTTATTGTAGCAATTAAAACTCAGCTAATAATATACAGATAAGGAATTCTTGACACCTGCCCTTTCACTCAGAATAATATTTCTGGGTCCAGTTTGACATGAAACACTCTTTTTTCCTTCTGGGTGTCTCCTTGTATTTATGTCCAGTAAATAAAATTCAGTAATAAATACAGTGACCCACCATTTCATTTATTGCCCTCTGACAATTTTAATTAATTCTGAATATGAGTCAAATTGATGGAGGAGAATAAACTGGGAAGCTAATTTCACATATAATGATCTTGAGGTTTAAGGGAAGGCATAATTCCAGTGGAATGGTTATCTGAAATCAAGTGAAATGCTGAGTGTTTAGTGGCCAGGAAAAGAGTAATCAATATCTGCATCAGGCTGGTTGAAACTTAATAACATAACCTCAGCATGTTATAGTGTTGAGGGGATGTTATAAGAAAAATATTAAAAGGTCATCTTCTGTAAACAATAGTGAGGCTTTTCATGCCCAAAAGGCATTTTATATTAGCTAATAATTTTGCATTTTTATGCCCACCATCAGTGCAATCCTGGTTCTGAGTTCTGAGAGTTCTGAATGTCTGGGTCTTAAATAGCATGTTCTATTATGCTGTACTATGTCATCTATATTTCCTTTAAACATCTGTTTTTCTGATTAGCTGTGGCTTCTGAGCAACTTCTAAATTAGAATTCTAAATTCTTGTATGTTGTCTTACTTGTTGCTTCCATGCCTTAAAACAGAGTTGATTTTCTTTTTCTCAATGTTTTAGGTATAACATCAAAGACAAAGACACCTTTTTTGACAATGCAACCCGCAGCCGAATAGTAAGTTAATAAAAATAACAGATCCTTATCTTCTTGTACGGAGTGGGATTTGCTAGTGGGGTTTAGAATGGGATTTGCAGGGAGTGTTTTAGTTTCAAATTTGCTAATTTCATGAATTCATGCATTTGTGTTCTTGCAGAACACTATTTCTTGACATATATGCATGTAAGGAATTCCTTTTTGGAGCTGCACGGTGTTTCAGGAATGGGAAATGCTCTGCAGGGAGGTTACTGACTCCTCTTCATTGTTCAAAGCTCTTTTCAGCACTGTTCCTAATCTTTATTTCCTTCCATATAGTCCTTATACTTCAAATACTTCTGTAAGGACTGACACAGCAGGATTTAGCCCACAATTGTTAGGGCAGATAATCCAATAATAAAATCTGCCAAATTATTTAAATATTTGTGCAAATGAACACTGCAGAAGCCACCTATTTTAGAACTTTGTTTTATTGCTAATTCCATGATTAAATTCATGCTAAAAGAGGATCTGTGTGTTATCCCACTGTTCTTTTTTGCAGGTGAGGGAAATTTTGAAGCGCACATCTACCAAGGCCAGAAACAGCATGGGTAAGGTGGAGGGAAGAGAATTAGAGGTGTTCTTTTGAAAGAAATTGTTTAGGTATCTCACAGAATATTGATTTTTCTAGCAGGACATGAAATATGCTGGCACATCTTCACAAAAGAAAAAAAAATAGAGATTGAACTAAATGATTTTTTTCTGAGGCATAAAATCAGAATTTCTAGTCTGTGGTTTGTATGGTAATGGGAGCTGGCTTTTCATTTCTACAGGTGCAGCATCTGGCACATAACTCACATTTTGTGAATTGTTATAAAATTAGATTTGATTACTGTATGATCTGCTTTGTAAAATACAGATGTCAACTGCAATATGTTGTATTATTTCTTGCAAAACCGTATTTTTCTTGCCATTTCATTTAAATAATTCACCTTTCCAGGTTATTTTTATTGCTTTGGCTTTAAAAATTACCTCCCTGAGCTGTCTAGTGAAATATATGACTTAAATATGACGGTTTTGAAGATACTTTTGGGATAATGCTGAAATATTTGGAACTTGAGGTTCAGAATTTATTTAATTTTCTTGAGGTTCAGAGTTTACAAAGGTGTACATATTCTCTTTTCTCTACTCTTTTCTCTCACCCATTGTGATATCATGGCACATATCTCCCCAGTGGAAAAGAAGTGCTCCCTGACATACTTTCTGTAAATCTTCCTGTAAGCTTGACCACCTATGGGCAGATCATGATGTCCAAGGGTAATATTTCAGTCAAATAATGTGCTGCAGCAAGATTATGCACAGTCCTGGTGTGATTTTGGGCAGGGAAGCTCCAATAAGACATGTTTTTGGTATAGGAAAATAGATTAATTTGGGTTTCCTTGAACAGGAGATATATTTTTTAAAAAAAAAACTACATGAAAAGCATAACAAAATGAAAGCCACACAAAATTATTTTTCTTTTTCAACCAAAACCACTAGTCTTTTCCTAGAACAAACTTTTAAATTTAAGACTGCCACACTGTTTCATATTAAAAAAGCTGAAAATATGGTTTTAAAAATGTGAGGCATTCTCGATTTCTAAAACACTGTTCGGCAGGTGCTGCTTTTTGAACTGTTTACTTGATGTTCTGTGTTTTGATCTACTCAAAAGTCTCCAGTGGGACAATAGATGTGAATGCTGCCTTATTTTTCTGGACTGCTGGGAACCCTCCTGGAGACTTTGGAATTTGCTGGGGAGACAGAAGCTCAAGGACAGAGTAGGAAGGGATAGAGCACTTTGCCAATGGATATACTTGCCTCTTACTTAAGGTTTTCCTTAATAACTTGTTCTGGATTATAGTGGAATAAAAGCCATCATTAGAGATCAAAGGACTAATAATATTTTTTCAGGAATTTTTTAACTCTAGTGTGAATGTCCAGCCTGATGTGCTTCAAACTCAGGTCAGCTCAAGAACTCATTTGACATGAAATAATTATTTTAACATTCCCATCCTTTTCATCTTTCTGGTCTGTAGCCAAAACAGGATTGTGCATCATGTTTGACCTAAATTCACTTATTTCTTTGGTGTTTTGAGTGCCTCCCCCAAAAGACCTCTGTTTCATATGCCACTAAGGCTTTCCCATCTCACTGGTCTTAAGGTTAAAACCACTCATCAGGAGAGGTTTAAAAGATTTTTTTACACAATTTTCTTTTTTTCTTTTTTTTTCTTTTTTTTTTTTGTTAGAGTTCATTATTTTGCACAAGAGGCAGGATGTGCCTGTGATGTTGGAAGTGCTTATAGCAGTCTTTAGTTTTATAAACCTGTTTTATGAAAATAACAATACTTCAGACACATTTGCTTATGGATTTTTTTACATCTCTATAAGGCTGAATCTGATTCTGCTCCTATGACACTATACAAGGAAGGCTTGTTTTCTTCTAGCATAACTCTGAACCACTGTAAACTTCCAAATATTGAATGTTTTCAGGAGCAGGCTTGACACTATTCAAGCATAATTTCCTGATTCTATGAATGCATGTAGTTGCACTTGTCTTTGTATCAAGGGAGACATTTATTGTTACCTCATATCTAGCATCTCTGACCAGAAGGTTTTTCCCAAATATTTCATGACAATGTATAATTTGACTATGGAATGTTTTTCGTCACTAAAGACATGATAGCTGGTTACTTTTTTTTCTGAGCATTGAAAGCAGAGAGGCCTGGAATAAATTTATATATATAAAACTTGTATTTATATTTTTATATTAATCTAAATATATAAAACTAATTATTAGAAATATATTATATATATATATTTCTAATTATTTCTTTAATTTATCTAATTTTATATATATATATATACACACACACACACACCCATACAAAACTAATTATTAGAAATTACTCATCTTTGGTTGCCTTTTCATGGAACAATTAATTGTTTTCACCTCCAAAGACTGAAGATGGAATTGCTATAAGAGTTGCAGGTCTTGAGAGCAAGTAGTGCCCATATGTCTGTGTACAGGTGCTGCAGTCACTGCTGGGAATTCCCTTGCTAAACTAAACTGCCTGGAAGTGCCCAAGGCCAAGGGCACTGAGAAACCTGGTATAGTGGAAGGTGTCCCTGCCCATGGCAGGGGGACAGGAACTGGCTGACCTTTAAGATCCCTACCAACCCAAACCATTCTGTGATTTCATAACCACAAACTTCTGTGAAAGCTTTTTTTTTGTGGGGGTTTTTAATTGTTGGCCAGAGGGGATCTGTGGTTCTGACCATTGTAAAGATTCAAAAAGGACTTCTGGATGCTTTGCTCCTCAGTCACGTGGCTATCAGGGTGAGAAAGTGGTCAGAAGAGTCCTTGCACTGTGCTGTTCCCTGAAGAAAAAGCGCTTTATGGAAATGAGTTTCTCTGAAAAATGTTTTCCAAAGCCAGAAACTCCTATGTTGCTCTATTCTCATTCTGAATATTGTCAGTTATACAGCTCTGTCCCCTCTGGAATGTCATGAAATCTTTAATAATGTTTTCTGTTCAGCTGTGCCTGTTGACCACCTGAATTTTTCTTCTTCTTTTAGGCATTGGCACGTTAATAGCAAACAATGTTTATGATGCAGCCTACCCACTTCATGATGTACGTATGCACTATTAAAAATCCAGTTCTCTGCTGGTGTCATTCAGGAGACAACCATTTGTAGACATTATTTGCTGTCTTTGACATTGAAAATCTCTTCTAAGTGTGATTCTAATATGAAAACTCTTATATAAGTACATTTCAAGTTGTGATCTAAAAGTAAAATCAACAATGTAAGAACAAGCAACTAAACTTTTCTTGAGTTTTTTCTGCTTTTACATAAGCTATTATTTTTCTTCTGCAGGGTGACTATGTAGGCCAAAATGATGACATGAATGAAAGAAAGGTAAAATACACTGCAAAATTTATTTCATATTATATTTAATATAATAAATGATGTTCTACATCTCATTGTAAAGCATTAACTGTTACACGAACAAGTAGATGTTTTAACAAATGGGTGTTTTTTGAATTACATATTTTCCTCTATTTTGGCATATAAAAATGTTTTTTGCAAGACTTTTATATTGTCTTGTTATGAAGCATGCCACTTCATTTAATTTGAAATTTACATCTTGAAATGCTTCCAATTTCTCTCTGCATACATAGACAAGTTTTTCAACCTGTCAGGAAGCTGAAATTGTTAAATAACTCATACAATAATTTTATTTTCCTAACCAAATGGTCTTAGAGAGCAGTGGTTAATAAAATAAAACATACTTATAATTTGATTGTGCATTCAACTAAATTGCATGCCATTTCAAAAACTCTGCTTCCAGTTATTTTGTAAATAAAATTTCTAGCTATCAAAAGACATTAAAAAATAGATCAGTCCCCAAGAGAAACAGTGTGAATTCAAACTGTGTTTAATACATACGCTTACTTTTAGAAATGGCAAAAAAACATTTAATTACTAGTAAATAATATATTTATATCTATAGATTACTAATAAGTAACTATTAAGATTCTTTCCATATTGTTCTCTAGTGTTTGCTCATTTTATTTTCTTTGATATGCAAAGAATAGGATAGGAAATGCAGAGGGAAAATTGTAGGGAAAGAAAGGGGGAGAGGAAAGAATGAAGAAAAAGGAAATTTTTGGAAATCTTCAATATTTACTGTGCTATGAAGACTGAGTTCATACAAATGGAGGTTATACAAACAAATCTGATTTCTACAATGCCAAATTAATAAAATTTGGAAACACAATCTTTGTAGTTTTTGGTAAATAATGTTGCCATTCAGCCACTAGATGTCTTCATGTGCCGTATACAATTTAATTTAGTGTATGAACTTTGGTAAGCAAAACAAAGTTAGAAAACAAACTGTAGAAGAAGCTTTTTGTTTCTGTCTGTCACTTTGAACTTTTTGTTTGTGAAGGAATTGTCTGCTCTGGACTTGCAGAATTTTCTCTGAGAGGCAGCTCTATAGATTACTGACTTGGAAAGCAAAAAATTTAGGGAAAAAACTAAATGAACATTAGTCAATGGAGGAAGATTGGGTACTGTGAAATGCGGAGAAAGAGGGCCTAGAAGAATCAGTGTCTGGAAAAATATTCCCCCAATTAGTTGCATTTTGTGCTGCCCTCTTTTTATTCTGCCTATTAGGCTCAGTTATGAAGTGTTAAGTATTAAAAACATAAAAGGTTCTTTCCAGAAATACTTCATTGATTATTCACATATGTCCCTGCTGCCTAGGCCTTGGATCTTCTGCAGTACTCCTATGCATAACATCATCTGTTTTCTATCTGAATCTAATAGTCTCAGTGTTTAATTTCCTGAAGAACCCTGATCAGGTTTAAAAGAAAGGAAGGCATTTTTAAGCTTTTTTAAATTTCTTCTGCCCCCTTCTATTTTGCCCACTTTAACTTATCTATATCTTTGAATTCAATTTTCTCTTGTAAAAACCCCAAAAATGAACTGAGTCCTTATGGGGTACTTAAGCCAACAGGGCAGCACAAGTAATTAAGGTTTATGTACCAGTTTATAACATAAAAGGTTAATCCTTATCAATCTTCTTCAGGATTTCCTTGGAGAAAATGCACAGTAACACAACACTTTTGTCCCATCTTATGAGAATTAGAAATCTGCAATGAAAACCTGAGACTGAGAGGGTTTCAGTTTTTTCCTAAGAATAAAGGAATTTCCCAGCTTCAGTGTGATTTCTACTCTTAAAAAAAAATCTTTTTAACAAAGGTATTGAGCAGCAGAATTATAATAACTCACCCTGAGTATAAACACTGCTTTAGTCTTTCAGCTTTTGGCCCACTGGCAACTTGTTACCCTTCATTGCTATCTCTATGTTTGACATTAAAAATCCATGACAGCTTTGTAACCCACCTGGGAAATCCACTGTTGTCATATACTAGAGCAGCATCCCTATAATTAGAAGCAGATTAGAGAATTCTTGTAAACTTACAGAAAGTACCTGTTCCTAAATGGAATGCTGTTTTGGACAGAACTTTCTTTTTGCTCTTCAAATGCCATTCTGAAGCTGTGTTCAAAGCAGCCTTTGGGGAGTTTTAAGAATGCAAGAGTTTTAATTTTCTTCTTTTGCATATTTGAGTGAATGTATTTATTAGTATGATTGTTTATGGAAATAAATACTAATTTGATACTAATAATACTAATCATATCAATACAGTCATACTAATATGACTAATATTTTGTAGGTAGTGCTAGGGGGTAATGGCAAGGGGTGATTTTGAATAGGCAAGAGCAAGTATTCATATGAAAATAACAGTATGGCAGCCAGGACAATCCTCTTATTGTGTCACATAAATCATGGAAGAGGGAATAAGCAAGACCATCTCAAATTCTTTGCCTGTTTCAGTTGAGTGTGTTGTGATCAATCTACCCCAGGTCCTGCAAGGTTTCCTTTCATCCCTGCTCCTATTGCAGCTAGATTCCTCCCAGTGCAAGAAGTTTCTGTAGAATCTGGTCCTTCCTTTGAGCTGTGAGCTGTGAGTGAATCTGCATGTCCAACAGCAGACATGGGTTTTTTGTGATGTCCCCAGCATGGGGACAAAAGTGGCTTTTCTATGGGCTCTATTGGGTTTAGCAACCCCAGGAGTGCAGGAAATATTTTTAAGTCTTAGAAGATGTTTGGGAAAACAGGAGGGATTACTTGTTTTAAGTTCGTTTTCAATTTCTTTTTTTTTTTTTTTTGTATCAGGAATGGGCAAGATATGGAGTGTTTTACAAGTTTCAGCCTATTGATCTCATAAGGTAATGTGGACTTGTATAAAACACTAAGGAACCTGGTTCTGAGGTGATGCAGATTAATTCATTTCCACTTCAGCAAATGAAATTTTGGATTGATCAGAACATTGAAAATAATGTTGTCACTGTGTTTTTTGTGGCTCTGATGATAATTTCCTGTAACAAATATACACTCAACAATTTTACCTGTGTTTTGTATAGTGCTTATTCCTGGAAGAACTTCATGCTTCAGTTTTGTTTTTTTTTTTAGGTATTGATTTGTTCAAAGGAGAGGAATTCCCGTTTACATTGGTGAATTTTTATTGGAGGGTATGGCCATAAACTCTGGCAAATAATCAGAAGCTGGTGTTCACATCATGAATCAGTGTGAAAGTATTTGACAGTTTTGAGATTGATTTGATTTTTTTACTCCTGGTTTTACAAGTTTTATTCATCTGAACACATCCATATGTGTTCCCAGTGGGGTTTTTTCTGTATATTTATAAATTTTTTCTTTACTAACATAGAAGATGTTGGCTTTAAAATAAGACAAAACAAACCAGTCATGATTTTTAAGGATTTCCCACAATAACTAAAAGAAAACCAAAACAAAACAATTGTTGTATTGTATTTTGTTTGTACTATAAATACTGAAGGAAGAAAAAAAATTGAATAAACTGCTGAGTAGGAATACTTTTATAAGATATCTATCTAGGAAGACATGAATTAGGATATTAAGAAATAGAGATAACCTCAACAAATATCAGTTTTAAAATAATTTGTATATATAAGAAAGATGGCATTTGTTACCATTTGTCTTGTGAATAATCAAACTCCAACCATTTTGGAGCCCCTATGTGATTGCCAGCAAAAGCTGCTGTTGGTAATATGGATAGTCAATAAGCTTTGTAAAAAATTTTTTTATATTGTGAGCAAAAGCTGAAATACTGCATGTAGTTTTTCAAAGAGTTAAGCACTAACTTTTAATGTGAGAGGAGCTGCTCCTTATTGGGAGCAAGATGTTGCAAACTGGCAAGTGGAAGTGAGACCATCAAACCCTACTGAGGTTCTGCAAGCTTTGAAATTTCCTCTTTTTATGCTTAAAAGGTTTTGTGCAAGATTTATTTACCTTTTGTATGGCAGTTACTCTGGGCCAAGCTCCTGTATGGAACAGGTAAACTCAGAATGAGATTACAAAACCTGCTGTGCTGTTAGTAAGTATTACAAGTGTTAAACTAAACTATGACTGGCTAGAGGAATTCTCAAGTTCTAGCAGACCTGACAGTTCAGCTGAGTTAAAAATAGAGGTACATCTGCTTACACTTCATCTTCATTTGTATTTTGCTGTCTCCATTATAATGTTTCACTGTGCTGATATGATTTCATAGAAATCCTGTGGTTTAAACTTCTGTGAGAAACAAAAAGAAGACCAGACATGTGCAATTGATTGTCTGTTCTCAGAGATGACTTTTCTTGCTTTTATCTTCCATATTTTGCTTGACAGCAAGTTTGACTGTTACCACTAAACTAAATGTGGTTTTTATTTCCTGGGTAGTGTTAGAACTTCAGTGTAGATGTACCTGGAGAATGGCCACCCCTCTCTTTCTGCCAGTGAAGTGGGTTTCTTCACTTTTGTGCCATGGGGGTATCTGAGCTCAGCCTTGATGTGGGTACTTATTCCCTTGGCAGACATCAGTCACACTTTGTGCTTTTTGGTAATTTATTGTGACCTTCCTTTCTTAGATTGCTTAGATTATACTCAACTTTTTTTTTTCTGTTTCTTTTACTTGTGCAACTTCAGTTTAAATTCAGGCTTTGATGGACAGACAAAGCAGCATTTATCTTTCTTTTTACTTGAAGCCTGTCCTGCCTGCTGTTTTCAAATACATTAACTCTGTTGAAGTACACTGCTAATTTTTAAATACAGCTTGCAACATTTATTTAACTATTACTGTTTCACTCTTATTCAGTAGGAATGCAAACTGAAAGTCATTCTTTAGCTCAAGTATCTATGCTGGAAGATTAGATGTGGCACTGTAGAATTGTAGGTTATCCCTGGTTTCTCAGCACCTTCCTTCTGACCACACAATTGTGGCCAGTCCCCAAGTGATTGCACACCAAAGACAGGAACCACATATTTACTATGCTCACTCTTAGTACAGACTGGAGATTCTCTTCTAACATCTGTAATCCTCAGGGAATTTAACTGCATAGTCAGTCTTGGAAAATTTTTAAGTTCTTAATAACAAAAGGAAATAAAGGACCATTATAATATTCACCAACAATTCCATTCACTCCTGTCTCTTAATCTATAAAAATATCTTTCTCTGGCTTTGTGGACCACTTTGGGCTATAAGAAAAGCAAATTTTTTTTGTAAAAGATATACAGCTGCGAGTAAGGGAGGTTTCACCAAATAAGAACACAGTGTGTGTTACATATTTCTGTTCTACAGCAGAACAATTTCAGTTAAAGACTATAAAGAAATACGTAGTGCGGGCTGTGCAAGTAATACAGTGTGAATTGAAGTTTGATTTGTAAGATGTTACAACACCTCATCTCTCAGTGCACATCCAGATATAAAACTGCATTGTTTGAAACACAGTCTGCCTAATGCAGTGCCTTATTGTCAGAAGCACATGAATGTCCAAATATGAATTTCATTTTTTTTTGTTTCCTTTTAACATGAAGAGGATTATAAGCAGTTATTTATGAAAATGTGAATTATTTGCTACCAGATACCTCAGGCTAAAAGTGCTGAAAATGATGAATGAAAAGTACTGTACCTCAGTCATCTCAGGAAGGCCTGAGTGATGTATTAAGAAGTGAAAAATGAAAGCTGCAGTTTCAGAATGAGCAGAGCTCTGGAGATCTGTGTGTTGTAACACACCTTTTCTGTCATCCTAATTTAAGTATTGGTTTCAACTAGGGAGGAGTTTCTCTTTTGTGACTTTTTTGTAAGAATGCACTTATCAACAGTAGTTCCTCTCAATCCTTGCACTGTAATACAAAAAATGCTATAAAAACATCTTTGGCTTAGTGATTTTCTTCTGTTTTTTGGTGATTTTTCTCAGATGAAGATGAGTTCAAACTCAGTTTTTAGCAAGTTCTACGGTGATGCTACTGTTGACCCAGAGACAGGGAGGATGCTCCCTAGGAGTTCCATGACCTTGCATAAAGAAAGGAGATTGCATATTTTTACATGCTATTGGATATTAATAAAAGTTTTAATAACATGATTTTCGAATTAATAGGTTGTCCTTTGACCTCTTCTGTGCTCATAGCAGAGCTGGCTTGAAAGCCAGATCAAATTGCACAAGCATTTTGAAGTCTCTTGGGGTGGAGATCATGCAGCTTCACTTCTTCCAACACTGCACCACTTCCAAAAATTTTTCCCCTTCTTTGGACCAAATATTCCTTGATCTTATTTACAGTCCTCGTTTTTTGTCTTTTAGCAGTACCTCTGATAACTTAAAGCAAGCCAAGAAAATACACACAAGTGTAAGAAGTGCAGTAGAAATTTATAATAGATTTTATTTCTGGTTGTAATGAAACATTTATCACTTAGGAGCTCTAAATGACAGATGAAGGGAGTAATCTAAGGTTATGATGTCACAAAGAGGTGTTTTTACTTCTGAGACAAAACCTTAATTCACGGAAAACTGGCATGTTTTCTTCTTAATGGGCATCTTGAAGCACCTGGAAAGCCAAGTAGGAACTGAAATTCCAGGAGAGGACCATCCTTGTTGAGAGGAGGTCACCTTTTTATCTCTTGATCTATTAATATAAGATTACCTCACCCTAGGAAATCAAGCAGTTGGCTCATTTCTAATTGTGGTGGAGCTTATTTTATTTTCATTGCTTCTATAAGGCCCCAGCTCATTTTCTAATGGTTTTTCATATTTTAATTTCTATTTCCCATTTCTAGAACTTCACCAAATTTCTTAGTAGCTAACAGGCTACATTATCTATAACATAATTACTCTCAAAGCTCCAAATGCCTCTTGCTGTGAAGCCTGAAACTGAGAAGACAAGTAAAGGTTGAGACTATGTATACAATATATGTATACAAAAACTTTTTGCAGGAGCAGGTAGGAAAGTTTGTTAGCTAAAATATTATTTATAATGTATAGAACATAAATCAAAACTTGGGAGTTTCTGTTAGTCAAACTGTCTAGCTAATATATTCCCTCTTTCCTATCTTTGACTATGTTTTCCTTTGGTATGGAAAATTGTTTCATCTCAGTGTGTAATGAATTCTGGCCTTTCATTGTGGTGTACCCATGCTGAACCTGCTCTTGACTGAGCATCCCCAGTCCCCCCTGTTCCTGCCATGAATGCTGTGTTTCTAGTGCTCAGTGTAAGCGGTCAGGCACCCAAACTGTCAGTACTGATTTGCCTTTTCACCTTTTGTTCCTTTCATCAATCTTCACCAAAAAAACCCCAAACCTGGATGTATCTGCTTACCCTACTTTGGGTAGTTTTAAAAGAGAGATAAAATAAGAAAAGGTGAGTTCTGCTAAAATGTTTGTTTTATTGTCTTTAGAGATAAGCGATTCTTCCTTCGCAAAAATGTGGTTAAGATCAATTCGTGGTACAGCTTGCACCACCAGAGCCCTACTATCCTGCCTAATGCCTGAACATATGACCTCTTTGTTCACCACCACGATTTGTATTCACGTCTTCATCTCTTCTTTACAGCAAAGACTGTCTAGAATTCTTAGGACTTGAAAATAAAGTCTGTGATGCCCAATACCAGAGGAAATGTTGTCCAGTCACTGCTCATTCTAACTTAGGGGTTATTGATTCTCAAAGTGGAGATTCTCTTGTATGCTTTGCTTCCCTGTCCTGCTCTGTTATTGTTGCGAATGATTCTCACCAAATATCCCATCATTTTTTATTTTTTTTTTTCTTTTGTGGAATGGCAGGAACACCCCTGTAAGCATCTGGTTATCACACAGGGATTGAACAATTCCCTCTGATGCACTGTGTGCCTGCAATTCTTCCCTGACTGTCTTTAGCAGGCAAA